GGTGGGGTGGAAGTCTGAGTTTGTGCCTTGCTTAAATATCTTCTCATTTTTGTTTTTGGTGCTGTCCTTGGTTTAATTCCTGGGTTGATACTTTGAAATTGCTTATTGTATTTATCTTTGTTGCTTGTAATTAGAACCCTTATGTAATGATTACTTCTCAGAGGTGTCTTTCAGATATAGCTGGTCTTTAGGTTTTGAATCTCTAATAACTCTGAGGCCATCTCATTTTCATTATACCAGGAAGGACCACTGACTAGATCAATCACAACACCTTAGCCCAAGTGATACAGTCAGCAACACTATAGCATCAAGTACATCTTAGAAAATGACAATTTGTGGTAGTTGTTAATCTATCACCTTTAACTATGTGAATTATATCAAAATCAAGAACCACCCCCCAACATATGTTTATAGTGAGTAAACTCTTCAATATAGCAACTTTACCCTTCAGGATGGGGAGTTAGAAGGAGTTGGGGAGGGAGTGATAGATAAGTAGAAGGATAGGGGAAGGTTAGCAGTGTGGCTAGAGGTCACAGGCGAGAGTAGGAAAAAGAGAATAAAAGAAAAATAAAGAAGAAATCTGAATTAGGGCCAGAACAGGAACAAAAAGGGAGATGAAGAACAATGTGGGACAGCAAGAGAGTGAGTGAGAGAGAGAAAGGAAAGAGAAAAGAAAGAAAAAAAGAAGAGAAAAATAAAAAATTGAAAAGAGTAGGAAAAAAATTAAAAATAAGAGCAAAAAAAGCCCCCAATAATAATAATTTTGGAAATAAAAATTAAAAATGAAGATGAAAGTCCTCCTTCAGGGTATGTCTCTGCTGTCACAATCGACAATGTGGGCAGCAGTGTGCAGATATAAGTCAGTGAGTCTCAGCAAGCCAGTCACAGACCAGTGGAATTCAGGCAGATTTCTGGTGCCAAGTCCCAAGTTGAGCTCCCTGTCCTCCTGCAGGGTTGAACTCTGCAAGGTTGTACTGCAGGTTCCAGGTGCCCTTCCCCTGAAGATAGTCCAGGTTCTGATGGGAGGTGATGATCCCTCCAACTTACCCAGTACAGTGGTCTGGTGTCCCCTGTGTCTTTGTAGTGTGGAACCAGGTAGCGGTACAGCCAGGAGGCCAGAGGCGGTGGTGGGGGTTGGGGGGTGTCCTGCAGGCCATGGGCATGGCCAGTACCGAGGGGTTCTCACCTTCTGGCTGGTCCTAGCTGGTGTGCTTGGTGCGAGCTGGCTGGAGCGGGGCTCCCGGTGACCCCGGACCTCTCTCTCCTGCGGGCTAAGTGGATTGTCGCAGTCATTTTGTTTCTTTTTAATGTTCTTTTAAACATATTTTCTCCTTTGTTATTCCTTTCTCCTGGAAGATTTTGATTGGTTCCATAATTCTTTTCAAATCAACTTTAAAACTCAATTTTTTTCTAAGTAGTCTTTCCCCTTTATTTTCTTAGAGTCCAAAGTTATCAGTTAATATGTGTTTCACAGATGTGCTTTTTAAATGAATGTTTTCAATGGATGTCTTTCTGCTATCAGGAATCTTATAGATATACTTTTATTTATCAATGGTTGTCTATAGTTTTGGTAAAGATACTCTTGAGTTATGTACCTAGAAAACAATTGTTCTACTCACCCTCTTCATGCTAACCAGATAGACACAAATTAGTGAAATGATTGAATTCAGGGGAGAATATGGGAGCCAGAAATGAGCAGGTATCTTAGCAAATACACAGTTGTGATTTGATCTCAACCTGGCAAAACATTCTAAGAATGGACTTTTATGGTTCTTTCTTGGTCAGAAGTTATCTCTACCTTGGTTTGTTAAACTGAATTAAATTTCATCTAAAACTACCTTGATGTATATTTTAAGTTTGGTTTAAACTAAAGATTTCTTGTACATAGTAAACTGCAACCAGACATGATGCATAAAACAGAGATAATGTACTTTTGTAAAAAGTACCAAGTAGTTGAATCTTAACCAATAACAAGCGGCCAATTCTTCAAGCCAAGTTCAAGTAACATAAGAGCTATAACCAACTGGGCTATCTCTACTTTTTGTTTTCTGAATGTTTATTTCTTTTCTGGCTGTGACAGTAACCTGCCCATGTGGTGAGATGGAGACACTCTGAATCTGTTCTGACTCTGGGAGTGGCCTGATTTGTGAATTGTTTCTTGCTTGGTTAAACTCTGTTCAATTTAATGTGTCTAAAGTTTTTCTTTGACAGGTTGAACATACCCTTTCATTCTGCTTTTTGCTGTTGTTATTTAGTGCTATGGCATCACACAGTCTTTTGTGAGAGGTGTTTTCTTTGCTACTTTGCTATAGTTCTCACTTTCCCTTTTTCTTTATTACAAACTGCCAGGAACCACAGGAAATGTGTTATCCTTCAGTGAAACAAGAGCACATCAGGTGGTTCAGCAGAAATCAGAGCAATTCATGATTTATAACCAAAAGCAGCTCACAAGGATTTACCCCTCTGCCTACCGCATAGATTCCAGTAACTTCAACCCTCTGCCCTACTGGAATGCAGGTTGCCAGCTTGGTGCGTAAGCCTCTGAAAACAGTGGTTCTCTGTATGTTCTGACTCTGCTTTGCCATCCTGCCTAATTCTCTCAAACTTTCAACTTGGACAGTGGCACTGAACTATCAGTCTGAAGGGCGAATGATGCAATTAAATCGAGCCAAATTCAGGACAAATGGCAATTGTGGCTACGTCCTCAAGCCCCAGCAAATGTGCAAAGGTATGTGTTAGTTTCATAGTCATCTCTCTACAGTAGTTCATGGGATGAACTCTATCCAAAGATATCTTAGTGATATCCCAGTGCTTTGCAGCATAATTTTAAAATTTATTTTACTTTTATTTTTAATTGATACACAGTAGTTGTACATACTTACGGGGTGTGATATACATTACATGCATACAAGGTGTAATGCTCAGATCAGGGTAATCTATCACCTGAGACATATCATTTATGTTCCTGTGTGTTTGGAGCATTGAAAAATCCTCTCTACTAGCTATTTGAAATATTCATTTAAATGTTGTAAACCATGATCATCTTAATGGGTTATATAGAACGTTAGAAATTATTCCTCCTCTCACCTCTTTGTATCCATTAACCACCCTCCCTTCCCCCACAGACTCAGGTAACCACTCTTCCATTCTCTACCTCACTGAGACCAATTCTTTTAGCTTCCACACAAGAGAACATGCAGTGTTTGTTTTTCTGTGCCTTATTTCACTTAATGTTCTCTACAGTATTTCTACCCATGTTACTGTAAATAATGGGATTCCACATTTTTTATGACTGAATAATATTTCACTGTAAATACATGCCACTTTTTAAAAATTCATAATCATTTGATGGACACTTCAGTTGCTTCTGTTTCTTACCTATTATTTCTTACCTGTGAGTAGGTCTGCGATAAATGTAAGTACAGATTTTTTTGATGTACTGATATCTATTACTACATATACCCAGTAGTTCTATTTCTAGTTTTTTGAAAAACCTCCATGTACAGGATAATTTTTTAAAAAGATAGCTTATGGGCTGGAGTGGTGTAGCTCAGTGGTGGAGCATTGCCTAGCATGCAGGAGGCAAGGTAAATAAGAATTCTTGTCACAAATACATTGGGGTAGTATGATGTTTAGACTATATTTCTTGAGGTTGCATATATCAAGAGTGATATGGATAGCAGACCATCAGTGCCCTGGCATTGGTCATTATTTCTCAGTTGGGTTGCCTCCTATTGTCTGAGCCTTATCTTTCAGAAACTCTTAGGTATTGTTAGCCTGAGGCCAGTTGGCAAAATTAAATTTCACCTGAAAAACAATCAATTTTATCAAGCCATTTTAGGTAATATAGTCCAATAACAAAACAGTGCTAACCAAAAAGAAAGGATAATATAGTCTTAATAAAACAACACTTTCTTTTCAGTCTGGCCATTAAAATTGTTTAAAAGTTTCCAAATTAGGGTCCAGGGATTTAGCTCAGTGGTTCCGCCGCCTGCTTTGAAAGCAAAAGGTCCCGAGTTCGATCCCCAGTACCAAAAAAAAAGTTTCCAAATTAGATTTATAACAATTAAGTAACGAAATATGGAGAGATGTGTCCTCAAGATTTTATGCTTTGCAAATTTTCTTGCTCTGCTACTTACTTAATTTTACAACTAAGACTGAGGATAGTTGAGTGGTAGAGTACTTTCCTAGCATGCATGAGACCCTGGATTCAATCATTACTCCACAAAAAACACATGCAGTTTAGAATTTCAGGACTTCTTTCTGTTTCTCATATATTTTTTCTATACCTGAGATATCTTAAGTTAGAAGATTAGTTGCATTTGACACAAGTACCTCCCTTCTTATACTGTTGGTATTCAAATAAAATTTTTTTCTTCATCCATGCTACAGTTACATTGCAGAAACTTGTTTTAAATTACCTCATTTCCTGGCCTTTGGGAGTGCATTGTCTAATGAAAACCACAGCTATGGAAATGCTAGCTGGTGTTGCCTTCTGGCAAAAGCTACATGTGTGGTTATGTGATAGTTCCATTGGTCTAGGAAGCACTATAACAATCAGCATTTGTTATTTGTTTTACAAGCTTAAACTGTGCTGTGTGAGTGTGTGTGTGTGTGTGTGTGTGTGTGTGTTCTTCCATGTTCTCAACCTCTGCTTTACTTGGCCTAGGTACTTTCAACCCTTTCTCTGGTGACCCACTTCCTGCCAACCCCAAAAAGCAGCTCATCCTGAAAGTGATCAGTGGACAGCAACTCCCCAAGCCTCCAGACTCCATGTTTGGAGACCGAGGCGAGGTAAGCTACATATTACTAAATGGCTAAGCGGTTAATTATATGATTATTTTATTGTATTTACATTTCATCTGAAATATATTCAGAGGTATAGGTGTGTGTGTGTGTGTGTGTGGTTTGCATGTGTGTGCGCATGCGAGTGTGTGTGAGATCGTTCCTAAAGGAGGACTGACCTCAGCTCATCAGACATATCAGCTTTGTTGGTAAATCACACACAACTCCTGTGGACTGTAGCACATTATCTATTTTGGAATCTTGAGTGCATGATATTCAGCTGACACTGGCAGTGATAAAATTGGAGTGCAAAGAACCATTTCATTATTGACAGAAACGTTGCCTAAGAGTATGTATTAACCTCCTGTCCACATTTCTCATCTTCAAGGCTCATCCCTGCTGCATGTCAGCCACATGCTCCTGGCCACATGCTCATTCTCGTCACCACCTGCTGCACCTCTGGAGCAGGTTTTATAAGTGTCTCCCTCTGTGAGTGCAGCCTCCTTCTTTTCCTGGCACTTGTTCCATTATTTCCACTATACCTGACCCAGGCCCTCTTGGCCTGCTTTCTCCCCACCTGTTAGCCCTTCTTATACTCATGTCCTTCCTCTCAGGGGTGGTCATGACTTCAGGTCTTTTGCTCTTCTCATCTTTTAAACTGTTATTTCTGGATATTGATGGGTGAAACCACACAGCTCTGTTGTTTGGTCCCACCGTAAACTTCTCATGTCAAGTATCAACAGACTTTAGCACTGTAGCCCACTCCAGCTTCATCTTACTGGTTCTCCCTCATCCCATCCTCCATGGTGACTCTTTCCAGCCTTCTCTCTGTTCTCAGCATCTTCAACAGATGCACAGTGTTCTATCCCTTAATAGTGGGTGCTTCCAATGGGACCATCTCTTCTATCTTGGTTGTCACCAGCCCAATCCAGCCCATCATCATATCTTGTCAGGTCTGCTGCAGAAGCCTCCAGTGAACTGGCCACCCAGCTTCCCTCTTGTCACTACATTTTGCCCTCTCAGAAAGAATCATTAATTGGTGGCATCAGAAATGTCATTCTTACTTCTTTTTTGTCCACAGAAAAGAAGGCATCAAACTTACTAGAACAGAAATCATATTCTTTCATTGCCTCCAAACTCTAAGATCCTCAGTTGTCCAGTTTTATCATAGAATTCTATTTAAAGGAAAAACTTCTAGTATAAAACAATTAATTGAAAATGAATAACTTTTGTTATTTAGTAAATAAAGAAATGTGCCTAGTAATTTAATCATTGAAATGTTTTTCTGTCATACCTGTAGCTCTTATTCCCTGAAGCTGCTGTCACTTCAAACTCTCTATATTACTCCTCACTCTCCAAGTTTCTAGAACTGTGTTCTCACTTCCTGGCAGACATTTTTAGAAAACCTCCTCTGGTGTTTTGAGGTTTTATTTCTTCATTGCTCATCACCCAGAACTTGTATCACAAGGGAGAATTTACAGGTGATTCACACAGCAGGACCTCATCCCAAAGAAGAGGAGACGGGGATGAGTGGAACAATAACAACCAGTACATGAGCTGGCTGTGTGGTGCACACCTGTAATCCCAGCACCATGTGGGGCTGAGGCGGGAGGGTCACAAGTTGAAGCCTAGGCTGGGCAATTTAATGACTTAACAAGACCCTATCACAACATTTAAAAAAGACTGCCTATGTAACTCAGTTCTTAGGCTCTGGGTTCAATCCCCAGTACTGCCAAAAAGAAAAAAAAAAAAAAGCAAAGATTAGGATGGAACCCCAGAAGCCTCTCACCTGCTCTCTCAGTATCTATTCCTCACCTGACAGCAAACACTATCACAACAGACCAATTTTGTCTGTTCTCAAACTTCTACACCAATTTACTCTTACAATAAGAGCCATTTATGTCTGGATGATCAACATTGTTTATGTTAAATAACTTTGTTCCTTTTTTATTGTTATTTCATTATTTGGCTTAGCTCTCTGACTTATTATGGACACTTAGGTTGTTTCTAGCGTTTGACTGTTTTAAATACATCTTCTCTGAGAATTTGTGCATGGGCAAACCTCTCATTGCATTGTGCATGTATCTTGAGCAGAAATTGTGGATTAATTCAGTAAAATTTGTGTAGTATTAGCAGCAAGCAAAAATTTAATAGCCTTCCTTTTATTCTCATCTCATATCTGCTTCTGTGACACCTGGAATCTATCTTCTCTCTTAGTAAGCATTTGGTAAAATCAGTTGCTGTTAAAATGTGAATGTTTTGGTCAATATTCTCAAAATAATTAGCACCTGTACAGATATGTATCATTTGTAATAATTCTTTCTCTTTGTTTATGTAGATAATTGATCCTTTTGTTGAAGTTGAAATTATTGGATTGCCAGTGGATTGTTGCAAAGATCAAACTCGTGTGGTAGATGACAATGGTAAGATGATAATCTGTGTCCACTCTTACTGAGGAGGTTCTAGATCTAGATTTTGCACTGAAAAAGAAAAATGTATTTTTATGTAGGAGAGCAACGGATCCCTAAAATGATTGCCATCTGAATTTATGTGAAGATCTTTTCAACCCATAAACAAAGTCTCTCAGATTGATATATGGTATATTTCAGAGGTTTTTTAATCTCAGCTCTCAAGAGTCTCACTAATTTTTTCTGAAGAAAAGAATGAATGATATTTTAAAGAACGTTAAAAATTTGCTTTGGAAAACACCTTGTGGTATATCCCTTAGTGTTCTTATGACAGGAGACCCCTCATAGCTCTCATTTGTGAAGCCTGCTATTTGGGTTAATTTCTCATTCTTTCTGCAGTATGTAAAACTCTAAAGGTAAGCACAGCACACTCTGGAAAGTTTTACTTCTTGAATATACATGTGGTAGAGGGGCCACATTCTCCTTATAATATAAAGGTAGCTTAATTTACCCAAGCTTGTATCTTTCTCTTGGTAATCTAAAATTATATTTATTAATTCATTTGAGAAATATCACGTACCTATTTTTTTCACTCTATAATCATTAACATGTTAAGTAATCTTAAACCACAATAATCAAACCTTTGAGAAATTAGTGTTATAATGAGTCCCTCAAGGAAGAGAGTTCAAGAGGCAGGCAGAATTTTTCAGTTACAACATGATTGAAGAAAGCAACTTTCCTATATTATATTTTCCAAGCAGTGCTCAATAAATTATTCTTTCTTTTCTTAGTCACAAAGTAATTCAGAGATCATTGCTAAGTCAACAAAAAGATAATCTTTCATGCAGGCGGGAATTTTTCAACCTGGAATTATTTCATTAGTTTAAGACTTTTTATAGAGCAATGTAGTTGGCACCTCTGGAATGCAGACAGGTAATAAAGCTTGTTTCCAATTTTTAGAAAGGGGAAAGAAAGAAACTTATGGAATGCTTGAGTCTGTGTCAATTTTTATCATTATTTTATCTCAGAGAATTTTGCCAATAAATAGATGTAATTTTGCCTTTTAGTATTTATCTTAGTCTTTTCCCATTGCTATGACAAAATACCTGAAACTCATTGCTATATAAAGAAAAGAGGTTTGCTTAGCTCAGTGTTTTGGAGGCTGAAGGTCCAAATAGTATGGCACTGGTTCTGGCAAGAGATTCCCAGGCTGCAGCACCTCATGGTGGATGGCATCATGAGGGAGTATGTGTGTGAATAAGAGATCTTGTGGCAATACAGGAAACCAGAAAGAGTGGGGTGGGCCCAAGCTTGCTCTTGTATAACCCCTTCATGAGAACTAACTGAGGTCCCCTGAGAACTCATCAGTGTTTTCCAGGACAGCACCCTCAAAGACCTAATGGCTTCCCGAAAGGCCCCAACTCTTAACATGGCCACACTGGGGCTCAAGCTTCCCACTTACAAACTCTTAGGGAACAAACCATAGCAGTATTTGAATTGCATAATTTTTTTTATTCCTTTCTGTAGGTGTGAAAATATGATAATGTAATAAGTTGTTACTTCATGAGAAGCAACTAGGAGTCAATAACACACCGTTTAATTTGGTTCTGTCATTAACTTTAAGACCTTAGGCAGATAATTTTCTATGAACATAAATTTTCTTATCTATGAAATGAGTTATAAATACTGTTATTCCTACTATTTCAAATATAAACATGTTACTTGTATAATTTTAAAAGTTATGTCTATTTTTGAAAGTCAGTAATACCCTGACACTCTTAGAGCCTTGCTGTTAGAGTAAAATAGGATATGCACAGCAGTGTTGAAACTTGCAAAACATCTCAGATAAAATTGGAGCTGATGGTTATTACAATAGCAGTATCTCTGGAGGGTGAAAAGCATAATTCTTTTGGTGGTTACATTCTTTACTGTGTTCTCTAAAATATTCTTAGATCACTGTTGTAAGGTTTATTTTATTTTATTTTTTTGCGGTACTGGGGAGCAAACCCAGGGTCCAATGAGTCACATCCCTAAGCCCTTATAAGATAATTTTTGAACTTACTGAAGCATTCTGAATATTAAAGAGCTTCCTCTACAATGCAATTGAGCATCAAAGATGAGTAGAATTGATGTGATAATTTATAGGCAATTTTCTTACCAATTATTTTCTAGCAATGGGATAAATTCTAAGGCTTTATTTCAGGAGTGCTTGGTCATCTGTATGAGTTTAATAACCATCACAAGTAATTTTCACTGTCTGCTTTGTAGACATTGCTGCCAACTCATTTCTGTCCAAGCCCTTTTGCTTTTCTGACTTTTATTTTCCTATTTCTCTGAGGATTTAACCCTGTGTGGGAAGAAACCCTGACATTTACAGTACACATGCCGGAAATAGCTTTGGTTCGGTTCCTTGTATGGGATCATGATCCCATTGGAAGAGACTTTGTTGGACAAAGGACTGTGACCTTTAGCAGCTTGGTGCCTGGTAGGTATGAGCTGATCTTTTTTCTCCAGATTGACAATTGTTTTTTCTTTGGAAGATTTAATATATGACTTATGCCTTACAAGTTTTGTATATATATATAGCATGTGTGTTATATAAAATATGTGTCACTTGATAAATATGGTGATTAATGTGCTCTTTAAAATGTAAAGAACTGTAGTTAACTCACATGCTAAACACTGTTGCATCCAAAGAGAGCCAAATGCAAATTCTACTAAAAGGAAACCACTTTCTCTGTTTTTATCAGGCTACCGGCATGTCTATTTGGAAGGACTCACAGAAGCATCCATATTTGTCCACATAACAATTAATGAAATCTATGGAAAGGTAAGAAAGACTACAGGGCTTAACGCCACACAGAACCATAATATAGTCCCTAACAAAGTTGCTGACTGACAAATTATATAAAAGGAAAGTACATTTTAACAAATTATTCTTTGCTGGAAAACTGTAGGTCAGTCCAACAAGCCCATTCTGTTCTCCTGGACACATCCCCATGCACTTGTGCTCTTCCATTCCTCATTCCTCCTACCCAGCAGCCCTTCTGGGCTTAATAGAATGGAAGAAACTATGACACTCTCAGGCAACCGTTTATTTGACTAAGGCCATGAAGGTATAGTTAAATGCTGAGCTTTATTTTACTCCTTAAAAACATCCAGTTGGCTACAGTGGGAAATGTAGTGTCTCAGCTGTTTAATGAGTTGCCTGACTACTGGGCTGTGCTCCCAGCCAGTTCTAGGCAGGATGCATAATTATGGCATGATTGTTAATTATAAGCCTAAAAATTGTGAATGAATTTAAAACTACCCTCAGAACTTAGAGGAACCACAAAAATGTATTCTAGTTCTCTGCTGTAGCTGCCCCCTTCATTGTAGAACTGACTTGAAGTTTGTAAGTCAATTGGTGGTCATCTGGTCCCACCAGTGATTGGAGACTTAGCCACTGGTATGAATTTGCAAGGCCAGATATGATTTGAACTAAAAGAGCATTGAATAGGGCTTAGGAATGTCCTGTGCTGGTCTTTATCAGAAAGTCAGTGTAGCCTGTAGCTCCTCCTATAAGTGTTATACATTCTCTGTGCCTTTGCTTCTTCATGTGTGAATATGAGGTAAAAATAGTACCTACTTCATTAATAAATAGATTTATGTTATGCATAGAAAGCTGTATGGCATGTAGTAAATGCCCAAAATGTGGGCTAATATTGATATTACTATGACTACAATTGGGGATGAATTTAGGGGGCATATGTTTATCTTCACCTCAGTCAGCAAAGGAGAGTTAAGGGATCATTATTTCTAAGAAATAAAGTTTTATCCCATGACTTTCTATGTTTATTTCTCAGTTTCTGTACATGCTGCTTCTTGGAATCTTTCTATTGTCTCAAATAGACAAAAATATAAATAATTTAAAAATGATTCTTGAAACCCAAGTTAACTATATGTGTGTTTGAGGGAAACAGTGAAATTCAGAATTGCATTAAAATTTGAAATGAGAGGTTACACACACATACTCACGTGTATGTTAAAAACAAAGTTTTTTTTTTTACAGTATTTCTGTCCTTTCTCCTAAACAAATGCTCATTTTGGTGTTATATTCTTTATTACTTTCAGGGTGTGTTCAGGTTAGGAGGCATATGTTACAATGTGGTGGGAACACTGAATGAACATAAGAGTAAAAATCACCAAAATGGAGAGGAAGTGTTTATAGAAGTATATTCACTTTTTCTTTTGTTTACTGGTACCACCTTCTTGAATGAGCCCAAACTCTCTTATTTTTTTGCCTTGCAGTGGAGCCCTTTAATCCTCAACCCAAGTTATACTATTTTGCACTTTCTAGGAGCTACAAAGGTAGTTTCTCAGCATGGTGCTATGTTCTTGCTGGTATATTTCTTTTGAAACAGTTATGGCGCATGCTTTCTCCTATCACTCCACTTTTTTTCTGCTTAGCACTTTGAAACACTCACTCTTCTGTTGCTTAAAGGTGGTTGACGTTTGTTAACAGTCTGTTTGTTAACTGTGGAAACCTTCCCTCCCACCTTGTCATCTCTGGGTAGGAAGCTTCCAGGAAAGGCTGGTCAGGAAGGTGGAAGACAACCTTCCTCAGAAAAGAAGGTGCATACAATGTGCATGCTGCTGTGTAAATGTGCTTTGGGCTGTTCTCTTGTTTTGAATATGACTTCAGTGGCTGTACAATATCATTTTGTATATATTTTCCATGGAACTGTTATTTCAAAAATCAACTGTTGATGTGATGGCGTTTAATTAATTTGTTGGTCCTTTTGTGTCTTTAGAACAGACAGCTCCAAGGTCTGAAGGGACTGTTCAATAAGAATCCCAGGCACAGTTCTTCAGAAAACAATTCCCATTATATTTGGAAACGATCAATTGGAGATAGGATTCTGCGTCGCACAGCCAGTGCTCCAGCCAAAGGCAGGAAAAAGAGCAAAATGGGCTTGCAAGAAATGGTAGAAATAAAGGATTCTGTGTCTGAGGCCACAAGAGATCAAGATGGCATCCTAAGGAGGACCACACGGAGTTTGCAAGTCCGCCCTGTCTCTATGCCCATTGATAAAAGTCTTCTGGGGGCTTTGTCGCTGCCTATATCTGAAACAGCAAAAGACAATGAAGGAAGAGAAAACTCTCTGGGTAAGATGCTTTGAGTTTCTCCACACTGCATTTTGGTCCCTCATTTCCATTATGAAATGGTTGACATTCAGCAGTCAAAATAAAACATACTGAAAAGTAAATATTTTTATGTAATCTTCTAGACTAGAAGATTATAAACTTTGGGGAGGAGAGGGGTGAAGAACCTATTTCCTCCTCAATTAGAACCTTGAAATGATATTGCCATCTGATCTTGATGGTGAGGGATAAGGGGAGCTATCGGATGTGATGGGCTGGAGCACATGAGTCTGTGAGTCAAGACAGAAGTAGGTGAAAGTTGCAAAATATGAGTAGAAATAATGGTTTCCCAAGTGGTGGTACCATATTTACTGGTTGCTCTGAGTTTGAATAGAATTATATTGACTCTTCTCAGGTTGAATATGGTTGTCTTACTTTTCTCACTATATAACACATTTCTATGGTTGGAAATGTTTATAGGGAAGGAAAATAAGTTGTTAAAAGCAAGCTACTTCTTTCATTTTAAAAATGTTTGCCTCCTTAGGAGGTAGTTGAGGCAGTGTTTTCCTGTGATCTCACTTCTGTGGTCTCTGGATGTTGTCAGGGAAGGTAGCATGTCTATAGCTCCTGCCTGGTCACAGGCTGTGAAAGCACAGGGACCAGGTTCTTCCATCTTTTCCCTTAGTTTGAATGTATCATACATTCAGATCTGCAAGAACTCAATAAAGAGCAGTGTCTGCTTTATAAGGTGACAAAGAGCTCTTAACTTTTGTCTGGGACTCCCCATCCTATTTTAGGAAACTTAAGTGCTAAAACTGTATGGATTTTACATCACTGGGACAAATGTTTTAATTAAATAAGAATCACCTCAGACAAGTAGAAAGTGATGGCTGATATCCTTAGCACAGTTATTCTTTTATTAATATACTTTCAGTGATTTACTTTCCCACAAATGCCATTTTGCTTGTATTGATGTTTGTTATAAGATATTCCAGGAAGGAAAACCAATTCTTGAATGGTATATTTGAAGGAGAAAAAGGGAATTTAAAAGTTTGATATTTGTGAACAACAGTGTCAGAGACAAAATATGTGCTTTAAAATTTGTTTTAAAAGTCCATCTTTGGGGAAATAAAGCTATATTTAATGTCAATTGTTCATAATTAACTCCTAATGCTATGGTTAAGATGTTAATAACATTAAGGTGAGTGAGGATACTGAGATGATGTTTCTTTCCCACCTTTCAAAAAGTTATATGAATTGTCATATGCATTAAACATAAGGTAAAGTTCAAGGTCCTGAGTTCGATTCCTGGTACAAAAAAATTAAGGTAAAGATAAAACAATAATCATGCAACGATTCTAGTTATATTGCAGACACACATTAAGTTGAGAAAAAGTAGCACACAAATTTTATGCTTTATTGTATCCTTTTGCAAAAGCTATCAAGGCTATCTAAGTGGCAACATCATAGGATATTTGTTTTTCTTATGATTTGGGGGATTTAAATTTTTACGAGAATTTTTTTCAGCTAGAAAAACAGTAAGTTAAATTCATTTTTCATAAATGACTCTGAAAGCATTATAAGACTATTAAAATAATCCTATCAAGAAGAACTGAATACTTAATTTTATCTAAGCATTACATCAAGTATAAAGAGAAATCTCAAATTACTGTAAATTATGTGTTTTTATAGTTTTCCTTCTGTGACTGACATCATACTGCCACTTTTAGGGGAGAATGCAGCAATATATAATATTTGTAATAAAAATATGATTAACAAACTAGGTATTAGTAATCACACAGAACTAATAACCAATTATTTATCTTTACATTTTAAAGTCAACAGATATTTATATTTTGGGGTTTTTTTTTGTTTTGTTTTGTTTTGGTACCGGGCATCAAACTTGGGTCCTTGTGCTTGCGAGGCAGGCGGCAGAACCACTGAGCTAAATCCCCAGCCCCAGATTTATATTTTAGTGCACTTATTGCCCCTTTCAATTGTTTTAGAAATTAATTGGTTAAATTAAATCTTTTGCCAAAATGTTTTTTTAAAATGATATTGTGATTTTTAAAATTAATACATGTATAACTTTGAAAGCTTATAGTATCTTGCTTACAGGTACCACAATACTGTGTTTAACAGAGCTGTCTTGTTCTGTTTTTATTGCCATGCTTCTGTGTAGTACAAATCTGACTAGGAAACAACTTAAGGTAATCTTCACTGCAAAAGTATGATAACTCATTGACATTTTTTTGACAATGAATATTACATTCTTAGTTGATGTAACAGACATTCAAAGAGAAACTTCAGTGAAATTCCTATAAATATATTTTACCATTTATTCATCATACAGACACTTTGTTGCAAGCCAATGCAATCCATAATTATATTCTGTCACAGTGTAACAGATTTACATTCTCCATTTGTCTGTCTCAAGACAAACATGAGTGTTTTCAGGTTCTGTGTAAAGTGATATGTGTCACCTAAAATGTTGTTTGTTTCATTCAGCAGAGGATAAAGATGGTAGAAGAAAAGCGAAGGCAAATATAAAAGACCCACATTTTCCAAATTTCAACAAAAAGTTTTCCTCCTCCAGCACTCTGCTTTACAAAGATACCAGCCAAGGGGACTCCACTGTCTTCACTGCCAAGGGTTCAGTCGCAGAACAGTGTGGAGTGCCACGCCATACAGGGGGGAGAACCAAATCAAGTGTGACAAGTGATTGCCAAGAAAACCACTGTCCTGACAAATCCTTTTCCCCAAGGCAGCATGTGGCTCTTGATCCTCCAGCTAATCTAAGCCCAAATTTGCCTAGTGTGAAAACCAATGAAAAGAGGAGTGCCCAGGGCTTTGCGGAAGGGAAAAGCATGTTGTCGGAAAGCATCCTTTCTCAAAGCACTCTAGAGATCAAGAAGCTGGAAGGTGACAAGGATAAAGGCAGAGCCGTAACATCCTTTTCTCTGTCAGATGTCTCCATGCTCTGTTCCGACATACCTGACTTACACTCAACTGCCATTCTGCCGGATACTGAGATTTCCCGTCTTATTGACAATGTCACTTTAACAAATGAGAATGAGCCAGGCAATTCCATCTCAGCACTGATTAGCCAGTTTGATGAGACCAATACTCAAGCTAACCTCACAATAATTTCTAATCTTCACAGCACTAGTATGATGTCAGGCCATCCTCCCATGGCCCTAAAAACACCCTTCAAGCATGGTTTTTCCAAGGGAAAACTGAGGGTACCCTTCCTGTGTTCATCTCCTGAGCTGATCACCTCCTTGAATCCTGAGACCACCAAACTTGCAACATACACGGTTGCATGTCAAACAACTGGTACTCCCATCTCCAAAACTAAACCAGATGATGACCTCTCTGGTAAGACCAAGATGAGAGCCATGAATGGCAATCTGCCTAGATCCCCTAATGGTCCTCATGGGTGGTTACCGAAAAATCCCACCAGTAAAGAAGACTGGGGAGTACTAAAGAGCTGCAGTCCTACTGATTCGACGTTAGATGTAATAGATGATCCCACTATTTGTATAAATTCTGGAGACAGCAGCCTTGTGGAAATTGATGAGGAGTCAGAAAACCTGTCCGTAACATCCTATGAATATAAGACAGATAACACAAGTCATCTTGCTTCATTAAAACTGAAGTATAGTCAGGATGTAGTGGAACACTTTCAAAGAGGCTTGAGAAATGGCTACTGTAAAGATACTCTCCATCCTTCTGTCTCTGAAGTATTCAACAATCAAGGTGTCAAAAATCAAAGTATTTCTTGTCTAACCTATCAGGGTGCTGGCTTTGTGCATAACCATTTCTCAAATTCAGATGCAAAAATGAACCAAAACTGTGAGCCCCAGCAGTCTAGTGCTCAAGATGTGCATGCCCCTGTACCCAAGCAGCCATCACATTCTCCTCTGCCTGCTTTGAAACTGCCAAGTCCTTGCAAATCCAAAAGTCTGGGGGATTTAACATCAGAGGACATTGCCTGCAATTTTGAGAGCAAGTACCAATGTATTAGTAAGAGTTTTGTTACGACCGGTATTAGAGACAAGCAGGCTGTCACTGTGAAGACAAATTCACTGGAGCCTTTAGACGCCCTAACTGAGCAGCTTCGGAAGCTGGTGTCCTTTGACCATGAAGATGGCTGCCAAGTGCTGTATTCAAAGCAGGATGTTAACCAGTTTCCCAGGGCATTGGTCAGAAAGTTATCATCCAGGAGTCAAAGCAGAGTGCGCAACATTGCCAGTCGTGCCAAGGAGAAGCAGGAAGCCAACAAACAAAAAGTGGTGAACCCTAGTAATGGGGGAGGAGTGGTTCTTAGAAACAAACCCTCAGCACCTGTCCCGGCTGTGAACCGCCACTCCACTGGCTCCTACATTGCTGGCTACCTTAGGAACATGAAAGGAGGCAGCCCGGAGGGCCGCGGCATTCCTGAGGGGGCCTGTACATCCCTTTGCTATGGCTATTTTGACCAGTTTTGTTCAGATAATTCTGTTTTGCAGACTGAGCCAAGCAGTGATGATAAACCAGAAATTTATTTTCTTTTGAGATTGTGAATTATATAAAGCTGCATTTTCAATGTTTACAAAGTATTTTATAGAAAGTTAGCATTTTCAGTTGTCAGTAAATATGATCCTTGGCTTTGAAATGATTTTCAAATATTTTAAACTTGTATTTTGGTCTCCATTTGAATTCATATGTTCTCTCTGTTTATGTGTTTGTATATAGATTCCATGGTACTTCCCACGCACCTATGATCTTTCTCCTCTGAGGTGTTGTAAACTGTATCAGTATGAAATGTGTGCATGCCCTAGATGTGAAATTTCTCAGCAGCTTGGGTTACAATATACTTAATGTTTCACAAAGATGCTTTTCACTGTGTCCTCAGATTGCAGTCCCAAATGTCATTTTTGTTCTCTTTTGAGTTGACTAAGAGACTTTGCAGATGACAAAGGGATGAATTCTTTATTTGCAGCTGTTTTCACTTTTCTTTCTATATTGAGAAACCCAGATGCATTTTTATAATTCCATTAAATGAAGTTTAAAATAGTTACCTTGTCTTTTAAGATTTCCTTTCCCCACCCAGAATGATTTCAAAGGAAGGTAGCTGCTCACCAAGCCCCATCCTCCCCTCCTCCTTTTAGAATAAACTGTGAGGAAGAAAGCAAACTTCTGTACATAAGGGCAAAATTGTTTGTTTTGCATAAATTTTGTTACATATTTTTGCTAATGACTTTGTATGTAACAAGAACCCAGTTGCCAAGCTATTTGTCATACTTTTGAATTTTCTGGTGAGTTACAGATTTGCAAATAATGGCTTTCAGAATGAGGGATATCCATCAGACTGAAAATAGTAGCACAAACCGAAAACTTCCCCAAAGCTTTCAAGAATAAAAGAAAAATATTTTCCCATAATAAAATCCAAGTGAATAGATAATAATTAGAAGAAACCTTTTCCCTCCAGGGAGTGAATTTTAGTACTGACATACATTATTTTCACTGTGAATCCATTTTTTAATTGCATGTTCCAGTGTCCCTCTTTGCTTTTTCGTAACCTTAACTGCAATGATGTTCTTCCTGAATCCATGAAAATATAATTAAAGCAGATTTTTAAATACTTGGGGTTTTTTTTGCTTGTTTGTTTTTGTTTTTAACAATTGAAGATCATACAATGACTGTTGAGTAAGGGACCCAAAGCACTAGGGCATTTTTTCTTTCTTTCTTTGTCTTTATAGCAGAATAGAGAGAATTTCCCTATACAGGACGATTTTAAATAGCACTTTGTTTCTTATGTGCTCATTATACTTGAAAGAGCATATTCATAAAGTGACTTGAAAAAAGATCAAATGTAAGGAGTTTCTCTGCACTTGGGATTGATATTTCAAGTTTAAACAAAGTCCTTGCCCACTGACCCTGGTGGGGAAAACAGGTGAGGTGCTGCATTTGGCAAAAGTGACTGAAGCTTTGGGCAGGGGGGACAGCAAGCAGTCACTATTCCCCTGGACCTCAACTCTGAGCTTTTCCCCAAGGGTGAGGATCACCTTCTTTCTGGAGAGGCAATGGGCTGTTGAATGGGAGCAGAGATATCATAGTGAAAGCCAGAGAGAGGCCCACTTCATGCTTTTAGTGAGCCTGAGATTATGTATTCTCTGGGTCTCTGAGCCCTTAAGTTCTATCCTTCGACTTCAATTTATTTTTAAAGTATCCTTGCCGTACAACAAGAAACATAAGGTAAATTTGTTGAAACTAAATCAATCTAGTCATAAAATAAATGCTTGGGACAAGGTGTGGGTTATCAGAACAGTCCTCCAGATATCCATCAGTCCATGTGTCTGTCCCCTAAATGTGCTGCACCTTGTTAACTGATAGGACATAGAAAAAGGAGAGAAAGCAATTTCCCAAAAACTAGTTGGAGAATGTCAAATAAGAAAAAGGAGTCAATAAAGCTTACATTTTAATAAAAGTATTTGAGGTTCAGGTTAGACTCACAGAATTTCACTTTTCAGAGGGACTTATCCAGGCCCAAAGAATTTCATAAGTGAAGTTTCATTCAAGGTATTAAAAGGCTTTCTGGTGTTTTTATTTTGAGAACTAGAGAGCCTAGGGAGCTGCTAAGCTCAGCAAAGTCTGAGTTGAGCAAGCTCTGTGAAATTTTGCAATATTTGAGTCCTTCTTAGAGTCTGTGTGTTCCAATGCTGGGCAGTAACAGGTGCTGTAAGAGTTGCCTGTAGCAGTAGCAATATCACAGAGGACAGAAGCAGAGCTTCTTAACATGATGAGTCTGATCAAGCCACTTTTGTCAATTAAAATTCTTTAGTGGGTCCCTGTTGCTTATAGAATAAGGTTTCATAACTGTGCATGCAGGGGCCTTGATTTGGTGCCCTTGTCTGTTCCTGCAGCCTGGTCTTTTCTGCCTTGGATTGATTGCTCTTTTCTCCTTTACCCTCTGCATTCTTCAAAATATATCCTGGAATATCCCTTCCTCTAGTGACCCTTCCCTGAGCATCATCTCCTTTTCCATAAGTATACCCAACCCAACAAAACCTACCCAGTTTCCATTTTGGGGTCACGAGTGCACCTGTGGAACCTCAAATTCTACTTCAATATCTAAAACTGTTTTCATGCCTGCTTTCTTTACTTTACTAAACCCCTCTCAGCCATGTGACCAGGCCTCATGCCCTTTTCCTAGCTCAGGACCTGGAACCTATATATATTCAGTAAATGATAAATTGATATGTAAAGAAATTTAGGGAAAATGTCAGAGAAAACAGGGCACAGAAGGAGGAAGAAGCACAGGATCTTGTCTCAAGTAGTTGGTGATGACTGAGTTTATCTTTTCATATTTCCCTGTAGTTCTCTCATGTTCCAATTTCCATCCAGTTCATCCTTTTCTTTGCCTTTTAATTTAGTGATTACTTGGTCATTTACTATGAGTATTAACATTTGATATTTGTATAGCTTTCTGCTATATAAATTATATGTACACAGGACTTTAAACAGAGTGCCTCTCATTCAGTCTTTACAACAGTCTTGTGAGAAGATGATGTTGCATCCATTTTATAGGCCCTGAAAATGGATTTCAGTGAATTTATGATTTGCCCAAGATCATGGAATGGTGGGGGAGGAATAGCTGAATATTATTCCAACTCCTACATTAGTCTTTCTTTTGCTATATACCATTTCCTTTTCTGAAGATGTTAATAAACAACTTAGCATCCACTCTAGAAGAGGTACTCAGCTATGTGTTAGGATTACAACAATAAGGACTTCTCAGGGCCAGGGATTTAGCTCAGTGGTTTTGCCTCCTGCTGCGCAAGCACAAGGACCCAAGTTTGATCCCCGGTACTGGTACCAAAAAAAAAAAAAAGGAAGGACTTCTCTTTATGGAGCAAGCAGGTGGTACAGGTGCCGAGATATATTGGCTTTGTTCCAAATGTCCAAACAATTAAAAATATAGCACATATGGTAGGTAAAAATATAGGGAAGAGGAAAGTTATGTTGCTGTATGTAAGGCATCCATGAATCACTCACTTTTTCTAGTAAAATAGCTAACATCTTAACCCAAGACCATTAAAAAAGTACCTACAGTAAAATCTAACATGCTAATATATTGCTAGAGGGTGGGAGAGGGCATTCCCAGGGAAGCAAGAATGAAGGTTAAAAAACATTGAGGGAGAGGAGGAAAAAGAGAAAATATAAGTAAATAAGTTACTGGGATGACCACAGCTTTTCTACAAAATCAGCCAGATGCTAGATTTATCGGATATTTCCAGAGAAGCCATATGAAACTGCATCCAAGAGCATTCCAATGTAGGGAACGAAGGGTGAGAAATATTATCTCCTGGTATCCTTCCCATCTATTTCTTTTGGTGGTGAAGTCACCCCTGTAATGCATTAATTTCCTGTGTTTCCGAGTTGTGCCCCCTTGCCACAGTGTGTGAGTCTATCTCAGTGAGGGCTGTCTATGGAGACTCCTCAGTGTGTGGTGGTGGCAGTGGAAGTGGCCACAGCAGCAGTGGTGCCTGAGATGCAACAGCTGTGGGAACAGCTGATAAATAAAAGCAGTGCAGAGTCGATTCTGAGTGGAATGGAGCCAGTAGGGGTGAGAGGAACTGGAGTGGTATGTAACCTGGGTCTCATATACTGCATCTCCTACATCAGTCTGATTTTCTTGCAACCAGATCTTATATCCCAGATATAAGATAAGATTTTATATCCCAGATTTGGGTTTTCTTATATCCTAGATCTGTATAAGTACAAGATTGTTTCCACTTCTTCCTCAAAGATGGAGCACACAGCTCGTTCTTTCACGTAGTTTGGCTAGTTTCACCCTTCAAAGGTTAACAAGCCAAGCTGTGGTTCCTTTAGCTGATGTTCATTATCTCCTTCAACTGCCACCCATTCTAGTTCCCCACACCTTCAGGCAACACTGCAAAATAAACCTTTCTTACTTATAAGCTTATTTATCTCAGGTGTTTTGTCACAGTGACATAAAGTTGTTTTCTTTTGTCAAACTATAGTTGCTGTGAATGCTCATTTGCAACTCTGACTGCACACAGAATCACCAAGAGGTGTCTCAGTGAGTCTTGTACTCCATATGTATGTGTTTTTGCTTCTATTGTGTAGCAATAACTACAGTTCCTCAGGGGCAAGTAAACCAGCCAGTAAAAGTCATTCTGTTCTTGCTTAGCCCTGGTATAAGCATTCAAAGTAGTTGTAATTTCCACTTCCGTGGAACACTTCATGTTTTTTCTAGGAACCAAGACTTCTAACCCAGCTAATATAAGGTTGTAGGGACACAGTACATATTCTACATGTGCCATCGAGAGTGGTGGTCAGAGGGCTGCTCCTAGTTCCACCCCTTACTTTTCAGGCTGTGAATAGGACCTGAGCTTGAACAGTGCAACTTTGTTCATGAGCCCACTGGGTGAGCAGTAAACTGACCAAAAGACACTGTTTGATATCTAGAAAATTTGGTTGTCAAGGTCCTCCTTGTAGCTTATTTTTCAGGGTCACTCTTCAGAGGAGCTGTATTCTGACAGTGGCCCAACATATCATGCAAACTGTCTTGGGTCTTCCTTTCTCCATCAGTTGCTTCCAGGGAATTTCTTCTGAACCATAGGTGTGAAAATAGAACTAGTGTGATACAGGTAAGTTATATGAAGGTCTAGGACAATGTCACACTTTTTTGTGGGTATATTCAGAACTACTTGAATCTTTTCTTAAATATATCATTTCCTTCATAGAATAGTTAGCTCCTATTCTCAGCTTTTTCATTTCTGTAAATTCCAAGCTTATAACAGTCAACTCCAGTTGTAGCTACTAGGGTATCATAGTCTGACTCTCATGCTTTGCCCTGAGGTACGTCCCTGTGTGCTCCAGAGCACTGCCCCCCATTTCACTGATATTGTAGGCCCCTTAACCCTCATCTGACACATCTCCAGAGTATCTTATCAGGACATTCACTTGACCTATTCTCAGTATTAGGTTGAATTAGAAAAATGTCTCTCAATATAGGAAACTGCTAGCATGATGCACTGTGTAATGGTAACATGACCGAGATCACTACAAATACACTATTACAGACAGCAGGAGAATTGACACAGAGCCAGGGTAAAGCAATGAAGATTTACTGCTGACCTTCCAAATGTAAAGGCAAATTGCTTTTGATCGTCTCTCCTGATGAGAATCATGAATAAAGTATTCAGCAGAACAACAGCCACAAATTGTGCCAAGGATGGATTGATTTGCTATAATAAAAAAAAAGTCTGGCACAAGCTGTTATCGGGACAACCCTTGGTTAAATTTATAGTAGTTCACTGATACACACCACCATGTATGTTTTTGTTTTTGTCTAAATAAACCAGAGAGATGAAATGACTCGCAAGACTAGAGGAATCACCACCTATCTAGGCTCTTTCCTTTTTTTGTGACGGGATCTCTTTATGTTTCCTAGGCTGTCTTGAACTCCATGACTCAAGTAATCCTCCTGCCTCAGCCTCCAGAGTCGCTGGAACTACAGGCATTTACCATTGTGACTGGTACTTGAATATTTTTAAGTCACTGTTGGTATTAATTTCTAAAACTCTGGGAGGTGATATTACTTCTGATTTACTA